CTGTCTCTCTCTCTCTCTCTCTCTCTCTCTCTCTCTCTCTCTCTCTCTCTCTCTCTCCAATATATGCTTGAGTTCAAACAGCCTAACAATTTTTTTTTAATTGCCCATGCACACCAACTCACACATCGATTACAACACACAACCTCTTGTCACAGAATAAAATGAACAAAAACAACCAAAACTGAAAGAAACACATTATTAAAGTATATCTAATTTCCAACAATTCTGGTGCCATACCTCATTAATCCAAGTCAAGCACCAATAAAGAAATGACAGGCGTTAGAAATACTCATTTTTAATTTTGCCGGGATCAGCCAATGGCTACATACTTGGAGAAATGAAAGAGTCCAGATCTTGAGAAGGACAGCAATGCTTTTGCTTGACCCCAAAAGAGTATTCACATCCCAACAAAGTCAATACAAGTACTGCAAGAAAGTAGAAAACTCAAATAAATCACAAAATAGTACTACCAAAAAAGCTTATACACTGACAAAAGAGAGAAGTCTTGAGGCTCTTAATATGATCATTTTTCTGCTTTTTAAACAGATGAACAAGTACCACTTTTCAAACAAGAAAATGAGATTATTATGAAATAATCAATATTTTCTTATTTTATCAAGTGTTTTTAAGGTCCAGCCAGCCATTAATAATGGGCAACAAGCAGAGAAAAAAAAAATAATGTACGTCCTTGATAATAAGCAACAAGCAGATAAAAAAAAAATAATGTACGTCCTTGATAATAAGTAGCAATTAGTATTACCTTTAGGAGGACAAACTACATCAAATCCTTGTCCTTCTGCTTCATCACAAGAGGGTGTGCTGAAAAATTTCCGCCGACCCTCGTCCTGTTCCCCGTAAGAGTTGACTGTATGGATCTGCAACTCATACACACAGTCTGGGAGCAGGCCGAACAAGAGAAATTCTCGTCTCTGGGGAAACAAAGTGGAAAAATATACTACTCGTTGCAAGTCGGTTTTCCAGCTCATGTCTTATTTTCAGGATCTCTAATGAGTCTCTTTAGACACCTGATATTCTCCTTAAACTCCATTTTAATACAATCCAAAGTTTTCCTATTAAAAAATTTCATAGATCCCTCCTTAAGATCATCTCCTTACCAGTCAACAAGACAGGAGTACCACGGTCAGTTCTTCTTACTAAAATATATAATTCAGAATACTTGTTTTATTATCAGGCTGTTTTTGACACTGAAAACATATAATTCAGAGCACTTGTTTTATCTGGGGAAGGGGG